CCTGAGAATCCAGCCCCTTCTCTGAGGGAGAGGGCTCCCAGGTCCTGCTGGAGTTGGGCAGCATGGAGCCAGATGTCTGGGTTGAGTCCTGGCATAGCATTTATGAGCTGTGGGCTCTTGATTTGAATCATTGCACTTAGTCGCCTCCCTGTAAAATGTGGACAATAATAATACATTTTTACAGGATTTTTAAGGAACAAAAATAATGTATTTAAAGCTCATCTAGACCCCCTATTGGTGATAAGAGGTGCTGGTACATGAAGGTTGCTCTGACACTGGTTTATTCCTACTCTGGGCTCGGGCAGAGCAGCAGAACCAGGTGTAGTTGGAGCAGGTGTTCTTGATTTGACACAAACGCGGCCAACTTCAGCCAAGAACCTTCTTTGGGGGACACCATTCGATCATTAGATGATTGTTGAATACCTGTGTGGTACCACTAGGCAGCTCTTTTAGTTCCTGCCTTGGTTTCCCTTGTGGGATTGCTCATGGTTCCTGGGTGTAGCCTGGTCTACAGCTGGTTCCCATTCGGTTTCCACACTCAAGTGAGTGCCCATACACAAGAATAGAGTGCCAATGTTTGGACTTCAGGGGCATTCAATCAAGAAGCTCATGTCCTATGCCCTCTCCTCTTACCTGAGAGTTATTTGTCTGCCGCTCTAGGACCCCTGGTCACATGTACCTACCTCACCCCACCCCCTACTTCAAAGAGGGAATGAGTGATGTCTGGAAACAGCAATGAGGGAGGAACGTGCATTGTGTTGTCTTTGGGTGATAGGACCATGGATAATCCATCCTTCTTCCTGTTCTTTCTTTCTCTGCCAAACTCTCTTTGACTTCTCCATGGAAAACAGGTTATTTTTGTTTTTCTAGGTTACAAATACATTAAAAAATAGAATGCCCAATTTTGTACATTAAGACCCCTTAACATTGGATATTGCCATTTGTCTTGCCTTATGTAAATACATAGAGCAGGCATTCTGAGGTTTTATTTTGATAGTCAAGCATTTTCATATCAACTTCACTTTAGGTACAGTAATAAAAGAGCAAAGAATATTTTTTCCTGTTTGTATTCTACAAAGTTAACATTTGGGATTTTCCTAATTCCTACTAATCTAGTCCAGATGAGTTGTTTTTCATTTTTATTTAGAAGAATTTGAGGTCTAGCCCATGGTCTGTCTGTATTCCCAGCACTGTCTCAGTTCTGGAAACTTAGATCTTTAATGAATGAGGCTTACCAAGTGTAGCTGATAATGGCAGGGCTTCCTCTCTTTCTAGTTTTTGTTGACATAAGACCATTGTGTCCCTGAGTCACATGATGTTTTGTGGACTCTTTCCTTCCAGCCCCTTCCTGACCATCTCTGAGCCCAACTTTGGCTGGTGTGACTCAGAGGTCTTGTGGCCCAGGAATAGTGGTTGATCATTGAGTCAATGGTGCCAGTCAAATCCTGGCCATAAGTGAACAAATCTAACTGTACATTGTGGAGAACATTTTTTTCTTTGAGCCTTGAAGGCTGACAGCTGATTCTGTTACTTTTGTAAAATCACCAACCATGGATTTCCAGGGACAGATGAGATTTCTTGGCCTCCCTTTGATGTACCTTGACCCCCCCCCC